CACTCGCGCTGTGAAGACAAGCAGAGCTGCACATCCCAGACCCAGCGTGCCATCTATTCACGCCTCACCTGCCCACAGCACCATTTTATTTAGTTCTGGTTAGCAGCTATTAGTCGTCAAAAGCTAGCTTATTTTATTCTTTGCTACTTCAGATCACCAGTGGAAAAAAATCTGAAACACAGTAATGGAGAGGAGGCAGCTATAACAAGGACAGTATATACAGGAATCTCTGAAAATTGGGATTTTTTTTAATCACACATATATATCCATTACATATAGACACACACACTCCATCTTCCACATCCTTCTATATTCCAGAAGGCATGTATCCTGTAAGGCGTGTGTATCAGGTGCGTGTTCTCCTGATATTCCTAAGAGTCTTGTAGGTGGGCCATGGACCGAAAAAGAACAAGGGACGGGATCAAAGTCACACACAGGACAGAGTCAGACTCAAGAGAGCGGCCCTGGCCCAAAGCCCTGTCCCGTCCACTGGGCTGCACTGCCTGAACGATGCTGGGTGCCATTCATTGTCTTCACACTTCTCAGAGGAAGAACCAGCTACCACGTCAGCGTGGAGCATCCTGACGGGGATTGGTAAACAGTTGTGTATTTGTTTCACATATCATATTCCCCTCCGTATGACAGGGAGACTAAATGGCTGACAGATACTAACAGAGATCATTGTGACCTTGGACCTGACCTCGGGCTCTAAGCTATCTCAGTCACCTAGCTAACTCACAAGCTCTGGAAGCCAACTTCTACCTAAAGATAGGACATAAGTTACTTTCAGTCATTTAAAATTCAAATATCTAAGAAATTCACCCAAAAATCACATTGCTACATGTCCCTTTTCAAACTTAAACTTACTATAAACATTGTTGGGCAAAAAATACTTCTTGGCATTTACCGAACCTTTTATTTCTTAGGTGCATGAACCACTTCTGTTTCTTGCATCATTTGCCATATATAATCTACTGTTAATCAATTAGCAGTAAGATACGATCATCTTACTTTGCTGACAGAATCACAAACTATCCTAAGGTTGTGTTCTGTCTTTTTTACAAGGAAGTGGGCAAGGATTATGAGAAAAAATGCTGGATTAATATCAAAGGACCTCATGGTAGTGCAGGTGCCGCAAAAGATCTCTACTGATCATTCTGTAGTTCACAAGCATGATCACTGGGTATTCACACACATGTATGAGACGTGCCACCCTCAAACCTTGTCACAATGTTGGCACATTACTTGCCTGATGATTTAAAAAAAAAAAAAACTCTACTTTTCAGACACGTAGAACCAGCAAAAGTACTCAGAACAACCACTTAAATGTTTTTACACAAATTCAGGCTGGACACAGTGGTTCATGCCTGTAATCCTAGCACTTTGGGAAGCTGAGGCGGGAGGATTACTTGAGACCAGGAGTTAGAGATCAGCCTGGGTAACACAGTGAGACCCAGTCTCTACAAAAAATAGAAAAACTGGCAAATGAGCTAGGCACAGTGGCAGATGCTATGTATAATCCCAGCTATTCAGGAGGCTGAGGCAAGAGGATCATTTGAGCTCCAGGCTGCAGTGAGCCATGAATGGGGTCATACCTCTGCACTTCAGCCCAGGCAACAAAGAGAGACTCTGTCTCAACAAAAAAAAAAAAAGAAAAAAATTCAGGTATTGATACAAACATCGAGTTAATCTCCTTATGCTCTTCCTGAGGTTCCCTTACATCTTAAAGACAAGAAGTCATCATAAAGGAAAAAGTAAAACATTTGTAGTGTCCCAAAATATAATTAAATTCTGCCCCAAGAGGCCCCAGAGAATTCCAAACCACATCTCAGTTCTACAGTATACCATTAACCGCCCTGAGACCTATGTAACACTGAATTAATGCAGCAGAGCTAGAGTACATGAAGTAACAGAAATAAATAAAAAAAATAACCCTGCCCTGCTATTAGTAATACTCTGACATACTCTCAAGATCCAAAGCCTGATTAAAGAAAAATAAAGTGCATAGGCTAGAAACGTAAAGTCCTGCAAAAGATTCAGGTGTGACTCCTGTGGGCAGTCTCATCTCACCACAGCCTTCCACGCAAAACTTCTTTATATACACACCTCAGCAAGATACTCCTGCAGGCCAGGCTTGGTGGCTCAGGCTGCAATCCCAGCACTTTGGGAGGCCAAGGTGAGTGGATTGCCTGAGCCCACAGGTTAAAGACCAGCCTGGGCAACTTGGCAAGATCTCATCTCCACAATAAATCAAAAATTAGTGTAGTGCACACCTGTAGTTCTGGCTATTTGGAAGACTGAGGCAGAAGGATCACCGGAGCCCAGCAGATTGACACTGGGGTGGCCATGAGCGTGCCACTGCACTCCAGCCTGGGCAACAGAGTGAGACTCCAACTCAAAAAAGATACTCCTGCTGGAGGCAGCTGAAATCTAAGCACTGCCATTTTACACTGTGCTTTTCAGGAGCCTTCAGAGGCCAAGGTTGGTCTACAAGTCCTATCTCTAGACAGAGGCAACCTGTATGGAACACTTTATTTTCCACCATGGTGTTCCAGACCCAGGCCCTAAGGGCTCTAGCACTGGGAGTTGGGGCAGTGATGGCAGTGGGGGTGTCACGCCGAAGGCAGGTGCAGGTCACGGTAGCCCAGGGCAGAGAGCATGGTGCAGGTACAGGTAGGTGCACACTGTAATCCTTAGCTTTAATTAATGGTCTTATACTTAATGATATCCTGGGAAGCTTCTATATTCTATCCTCAGACCCCGGATGAATGCCTAGCAACTCAAGATGTGGTAGAAAAATGAGAAAATATAACAAGAGGAAAAGAAAATAATGGTAGAAAACCATATACCTAGGCCGTGTGTGGTGGCTCATGCCTGAAACCCCAGCATTTTAGGAGGCTGAGGCAGGAGAATCAGTTGAGGCCAGGAATTCAAGACCAGCCTGGCAACACAGTAAGACCTTTACTACACACACATACAAAAGAGAGAATTACCCAGATGTGGTGGCAGGTGCCTACAGTCCCAACAGGGGGGTGAGGTGAGAGGATAACTTGAGTCCAAAGAGTTGGAGGCTGCAGTGCACCAGGATTGTGCCACTGCACTCCACCCTGGACAACTGAGCAAGACCCTGCCTCAAAAAAGAAAAAGAAAAACTTAAACCTTAGCATACCCAGGTATATGTGACATGCAGATCATCAGAGAATGTGTATTCTGTCGCCATTCAATTTTTAAAATTACATGTTAACATATGTACACAACTGAGGACCACTTGAATATCTAATCCTGAACTGTATATATCTTTAAAATTTTAATTTTTTAATTTTAAAAGTTTTTAAAAATTTAAAAAGCATATGTACACAGCTATTTTCACAGACCCAGAATAAGCAGGCACCAAGGGTTCTACAAGCACATACAACATTCCAAAGTCTGCTATGCCTATATGTTGCTCAAAACATAGTATGTTTATAATTGCAGAAGGAAATGCTTCCATTTTGTAAAAAAGCAAACAAAAACATAAGACTCAAGAGACAGAATGCAAAAATATGACTGAGGACAGTTGGCTGGAAGGACACCTTCTACAGTAACAGTGTCCTAATGGGACTCAGGACCAAACTCACATTCCATGGTGTACAGGAGCCCAGGACTTTCCAAGTAAACTTAACCGATCAACATTTAAAGTATAAAGTTTTAAGCAGCTCAGGCAGCAGGAAGAGTGGCAGTGGCCAGACAACCCAGCTTCACAAAGGTTCTAAGGGCCATGCCTGCAGGCACCCAGCACATGCCCTGCTCACCACCAAGATGCCCAAGAGGAGGACCAGCTCCACCAAGGGGACGGGGAAGGAGGAGCCCAAGAGGAGATCGACACAGGTGTTGGTTAAACCTGCTCCCGCAAAGTGGAAGTGAAGTCAAAAAAGCTGGCAGGAAAGGATTCATCTTCAGACAACAAAAATGCAAGCAAAAGGAAAAAGGGGAGCACAGAAAACCCCAGCTGAAATGGCCAACTAAGAAACCAAAGAATTCCTTGCAGAGAACGGAGAGGCTAAACTGAGGAGGACACAGCCTCTGATGAAACAGGAAAGAGAAGCCATGTTTGCATATCACCACAAACTCCGTCTTATCTGTGTCCCTTCTTGTACAATCCAGAGGAAGATTTTTAATAACTGTTTTGTACATGCAAGATTCTTAGTAGCTCTAGAAACAATTTTTTCTTTTTTTTTTTTTGAGTTGGAGTCTCACTCTGTCTCCCAGGCTGGAGTGCAGTAGCCGCTCCTGGCTACTGCAGCCCCAACCTGCGGGGCTCCGGCAATCCTTCTGCCTCAGCCTTTCAAGTAGCTGGAACTACAGGCGTGCGCTACCATACCTGGCTAATTTTTTGATTTATTGTAGAGATGAGGTCTCGCCAAGTTGCCCAGGC